CCTGTTGGCAGCTCAGCTCGGGTCGGGAATCGAACCGCTGTTGCTCAGAGCTCACACTCTTGAGCGAGCTCTTAACCAACTGAGCCACTTGGCCAGCCTCGTTTTAAAAATTTTTTGCATATCCTTTCAGATATTTTCTATGTTTATGTGGACATATCTGTATTATATATGTATTTCTTGTATTACACAAGTCCTACCATGTTATACTGTTTTGCAAACCTTTTCACTTAAAAATATATTTGGACATCTTTCCATATTAGTACATAGGACTCTACCTTTACTTTTATAGCTATTTTCATGGTATAAATATCTTATCATTTATCCAGATGCATATTGATGACAATAGATTACTCTCACACTGTTCTGTTATACAAAGATAAAATTTGTCTTCTGTAATTTCTTTTAATAATGTTTGTTTTAGAATCATTTGGAATAAACTGAATCTAACATTGAATAGCTCTTTAAACATCTGAAAATCACCACAAAGCATACGGGGAGTAAATGGGAGAACACATGAAAGAAAAGTTTGAAGTCATAATACTCAGGTATCAGAAATCATGAGGGGAAATGATTTCCTCAAATAAAAACAATCTAAATATCTGACAACATAAAACTGATGCCTAAATTATGTTCTCTGAAGCTAACAGGATATTAAATAATGATTAGAAACATGAAGACTCTGCAGCATCAAGACCAATGGTATAATGTTAAGTGAAAGCAGACATGCAGTTGTATGTGACCTGAGATTAGCTATGAAACAAACACATCTGCATATGAAAAGGACAGAAATACTCAAATAAAATGTAGCTGAGTTAGGTTGGTAAGAGTATGGATCATCATTTCCTTTCAAGATGTCCTTTAATACAGTAATACCTTGGTTTGCGAGCATAATTCGTTCCGGAAACAAACTATTTGTATTGCAAGGCATCGCTCGCTTACAAGTTAAAATGTATTAGAAATGTTTGCTCGTCTTGCGGAACACCCGCAAACCAAGTTACTTGCAATCCAAGGTTTTACTGTCTTTTATAATTTGGCTTTTACAATAAACAACAACAACAAAATGATAGCTATCAGGAAAATCAGGATCCCCATTTTCAGTTTCAAGGCCCTCAAGGCCCCTTTACTTTCTCCCCTGATTATCTTGAAGATATCAACCCTCATAGTAAATAATCAGGTCTTGAAATTCTTCATGGCAAAGCTGCAATCAGCAAACAAAGCTTGAAGTGTGACTGCCCTCTAGAAAACAGTGGAATGGAAGGGAAGGAGTTAGAGATGAAACAAGAAAAAGAAAGGACAATCAGGAAGAGCTCCACCTTAAACCAAGTTCATAATCACCCAGTGCTGCCATTTTTGTTCTATCTCCACATGAGTAGAAAACTGGTATGAATTTCCAGATCCTATGGTTGGGGCAATATAAGAGTAAAAAACTCAGGGAAATGATTAAGACCTGGGTACTTAAGATCATACTCCCAAGACAACACAAAAAGTTCATATTTTAGGAATTTAAAGTCTCCAGCTCTGGTCACAATAGTAACAGCGGTATTCTTTAAATTCATTATCATTCATTTCTCCCAAAACATTTCATCTATTTATTTTATAAGCACTGATTAATTCCTTGAACAAACCTAAGTCAAAGAAGGCTTTTAAAAAGTATTCCTTGTCACAATACTCAGTATTTTGCCAATCACTGGCCTGTGCTGAATAATGACACACAGAGCACTAGTAAGTAAAAACAACGATCATGTTATTTTGGTGTTGTGTGCCTTTGGCATGAACGGTTATTTGTCTATAATGCCACAATCACCTTGGTTCTGAGGGAGTGGCATATGTGCTCTGGCTGCTCAAACATTAACTACTGATGAGTCACATTTGCAGCTGAGAGCTCACTCTAGAAAAACAGGGAGAGAAAAACTTGTGTTTTTAAGTTAGGAACAAGCTCTGTGTTCATGTTCACATTTATAGTGAGACATGGTAAAACCTTGTCTACTTTCTTGTCAACTGATTTACTTCCAAAATAAATTTCCTTTTTTGGCCATCCCCAGAGAATATTTTTATTAATAACTTGGCAAAAAATCTAAAAAGGTATGCTTATCCAATCTTTCTGTCACCAAAATGCTTCCCAACTGCCTACTCTGTGAAAGAACTCCGTTGGGCTTCAACACTTGAGACACAAGGGTAAGAAGGTACAAGCCTTGTTCTCAAGGAGCTTATAGTCTTATGTGGGGGGGGGGGGGGGCTGATATGTAATTACAATTCAAAAACAGTCAATATTTAATCATAAGTAACAGGATCAGGATTGAAAAATATCCCAATATTTAGTAATAATGGGATAAAGTAACATGACATCTAAGAAGTTTAGGTGCTCAAAATCAATCATATAACTGCAAAATACTGAAAGGCTTTATTGATGGTGGCTTATATAAAATATATGTAAAGGTTTCAGCCGAGTAAAACTCCATAAAAGCATAAAAGTTAACTATGTGAAATGGCTGTTAAAATAGATAATCTAAATTAAAGGTAATATTGTGTACAGATCCAAGAAGATAATAATCCCCCTGGCTCCACATCCAGAGATACTGGTGCTGTTTTATGAGGCCCATTTTTTTTTTTTTTTTTTTAGCTGAGCCATCCTGCCACCTGTTGGTAGCTCAGCGGCTGCTCAGCTCGGGCTGACTCGAACCGCTGTTGCTCAGAGCTCAAACTCTGGAGCGAGCTCTTAACCAACTGAGCCACTCAGCCGGCCCTTATGAGGCCCATTTTAAGAGGAACATCACAAAACCGGGAGTGAGTGTATGGGTGTGTGCTTCACACACACCTTCATGCTTGGTAGTGGAGCAATGATCGTGAAGCATCTATAAAACATATTATGCAAAAAGATAAGGAATTCAACACACGTGGCTTAAAAGAAGACTTGGAGGTGGGTGGTGGCAGGGTCAGCATATAACAATTGTGGTGAATGCCTTTGAGCTGGTAACAGAGGGCTCAACAATGCTCCATGGAAATAAAAAAAAAAAAAAAGGCAGATTTTGGCCCAATATGAAGAACTAATAGCTTGGGGTTTCCAACACTGAATTATCTTGAAGAGAGATAAACTCTGGCTAGCAGTAGTCAAGCAGAGATGGATAACCAGTTGTTAAGAAGCAATTCCTACACTGGGTGGAAATTTATAACAGATCTCTCAAGCTCCTCCTTGGAAAAGCTGTGGTAATCTTGTTAGCTGCAGGCAAGAATATTAAGAAGACACTCACCACAGTTACTTTGAGAGCAGTAGACAATCTCAAAAAGCAAACTAGGTCAGGAATCACCATTGAACTTCGTGTAAGGCCTAGAAGGCTTTGTGACTTTTAGGCGACTGTCAGAAGAGAGACCGGAAGGGAGACCAACGACGGCCAACCTACTGGAGTGTGAACCAACAGTTGGCCTGATCACTACACAGGAGCCCTCCCATTCCCACTGATTAGAGGATACACCAGTCTCAGAGGTTCCAGTTTTTCTTTGCTGCCTTAAGTGAAAAAGCAATTTTCTTAAGTCCTCCAATGCTCTACCTATTTAAGGTTGTTTTCAGTGCATGGAGAATACTGAAACTTCAAGAATTTGCAATGTTCTCCTATATTTGGTGACAGTCTGAACCCAGCAACACAGATGTTATTCCTACATTAACAGGTTCATGAGATTTTGTGGCCCCATACTGAAACGTGAACAGTCGCCTGATCTGGTGAGTCTATTTGGAAGGACTTCCAGAGGAAACTCTGCAAAATGGCCAGGTGGCTTTCCCCAGGCCCACTCAAACTTCTAAGATGGACTGGATCTAGCGTGTTTTTAACTGCTTTAGATTTGTGAGACATGTACCAAGAAGTTTATCTTAAGTGAGCTGTGATAATTATCACCCTGAAATTTATGAAACCAGGAACAACGTACTAGTCAACTTTAAAGTTTAGTTCTGGAAAGACAAATCTCAAGTTATACATATGTCCTATGAACTCAGTTGCCAATCTTAAATCCTCTGCCAAGAACAATCCATATTTAAGGATACAATCAATGAACAAATATATACTGACAGGCTACTGTGAGCAAGAACTCATGTTATGTTCAATGAAGGACAAATGCCCAACCTGGCCTCCCTAGGGTCTGACCATGGCTGATTATTGGCATGGTCAGAACGTAAGACAACTTGAATAATACCAAATGGCTCTTAAATAATTTCTATATTCTAGAAAATGAAACTCAAATTCCCTCACTAGTACCTTCAATAGTGCTACTTGAAATAGGAACCATGGTTCAGTCATTCACATAAAATTGTCATGCTGAAGAAAGCATCAAGCACTGGAACATTTACTAATGTCAAATAATAAAACTAGCGCTGAAGGGTTTCATCTTCTGTGAGGTATCCTATAGGTATAGCCACCTTAAGGGTGGTAACATTTGCTTAGTCAAGGTATTTTTCAGGAAGCCAGTAAGCTATTTCAAAAATTAGACCTTTTAGGTAAAACACAGGCATGTTTTAAAAAATTATAAACTTACTGTTAAAAAATCCTCAAAGGTCAGATGTTATTACAATCATATAGGTAAGTCTTCCAAGTTAATGAGACACACGGATAAAATGACAGTTAACACTATATTCCAGAACCTGTGTTTTAGGATGTCTTTAAAATGGATATTAGATATACAGTCTCAACGTAGTGAAATTTAACCTGTAAATTACAACCCCTCCTCCTTTCTTTTGGTATACATGAAGAAATGAAAAGGGACTGAATAAGCCACGTGTATTTCCAGTGAATGAAAGAATTCAAAGGTTAGTTTATAGGCACAGTACTGGCATCACAGATCCCCAATCAACTCAGCTGTCCCTCCAGGGGCCAGAAAGCAAGCAGCTTTTTAGTTGACTATGTTTATTTACCTATCCAAGATATAAAAGGGTAAAGTGGACAAAAGAGTTCACATATTTTAGGGCTTCCAGTAAGCTATACGTTAAGGGAATGGAGGAAACAGACATGACTTACCTGTACTGCCAAGCTGCTTATAAAACCTGTACTCTAAATGAAGCTGTGGAGCACGTGATTTGATTGGTTCCTGAAATCCAAGAAGAGATACTGTGATCAGATTTAGACAAACAGAATTTTTTTATTTCTAGGTTTTCAGAGTAAAACCACTTAATGTTTTAGAGATGATTAATAGATGATAGCATTTTCTTACCTCAATTTCTCTTTGAACTCACAGCTAGGGGGAAGATGAAGCTGAATCACATACAATCCCTTCCGGGGATATTTAGATAAAAACACTGTGTATGAGCCATCCTTCAAGGATAGTTCTCTCATCATGAAGTATTTTCCTGAAATGTATTCTCTTAGGAAACCAGATGCCAATCCTTTTAATTAAATACCAGCATGTTTTTCCTGCTTCTTTTACTATGAATTTTGGGTGGTAAAGAGTTTTATTATTTTTAGAAAAATGATATATGCTCAAGAAGAAGATTTCAAATACACAAAAATTAGGAGGAAACTAAAAAAAAAATGTGAGAGCCTATCATTTTAAAGAGAAGTACTATTAACACTTTGGGAATGTCCTTCCAAATATTTATTTACATATATATTTATATACAATACAGATTCGGAAATATGCTATATTAATGAATGATAAATGAAATCATATATCTGCTATTTTGTAATGTGCCTTTAAATTCAATAATGTGATGATGACATCTTTCCATGACAGTAAGTAAAGCTGTGCATTATTTTTAATGGCTGTAGTATTCATATATACACATACACACACACACACACACACACACACACACACACCACAATTTTTGGACATTTGGACTATTTGTAGCTTTCAATATTATCAATAATGCTGTAGGAAAATTCTCATGTATATATAGTTTTACATTTAAGATAATTACATATTGTAAATGCAATTACAATATGTAACTTTAATCAATATAGGTGAGTTTTCAAAAAATAGAATTTTCTAAAGACCCCAGAGATAAAGCAGCCAAACTACTACACTTTGCTCTACACCAAACTTCAAGAATTGGCTGGTTAATTTTTCTGAATGGACAGTATACCAGGCAACTAAATAACAAGAAAATCAAATGTTACCCTAAAACAGTGGTTCTCAACCTGTGGGTCACGACCCTTTCACAGGGGTCGCCGGGTACTCGTATGTGGGCGGATCTGCATGTGGGCGTGGAGACGGATAGAGGAGCGGTGTCTTGGTTCCTAAGACCATCAAAAATATGTGTTTTCGGATGGTCTTAGGCGACCCCTGTGAAAGGTTGAGAACCGCTGCCCTAAAAGATACACCTGCATACTCATTGGGGTGGCTATTATCAAAAACACAGAAAATAACAGGTATTGGCAAGGATGTGGAGAATACCTGTGCATTGCTGGTGGGAATGTAAAATGGTGCGGCCACTGGGGAAATTTCTCAAAAACACACAGAATTACCAAATGATCCAGCAATCCCACTTTCCTGTTCATAGCAGCATTATTCACTACAGTTAAAAGGTGGAAGCAGGGCCGGCCGAGTGGCGCGATGGTTAAGAACTCGCTTGGGATGCCAGAGGGCCCCGGTTCGGATCCCACATATGAGGGCCAGTGACACCCCCCAATTCCCCAATAAAAATCTTTAAAAAAAAAAAAAAAAGGTGGAAGCAACCCAAATATCTATCAATAAGTAAACAGATAAACAAAACGTGGATACATACTGTTCTATACATAAAATGAAATATTATCAGCTGTAACAAAGACATTCTGACACATGCTACAACATGAATCTCGAAAACATTATGCTAAGCGAAATAAACTAAACACAAAAGGACAAATACTGCATCATTCCACTTATAGTCAGATTCATAGACAGAAAGTTGAATGGTGGCTGCCAGAGGCTAGGGGCAGAGAGGAACTGGTAGTTAGTGTTTAATGGGTACAGAATTTCAGTTGAGGAGGAAGAAAGAAAGTTCTGGAGATGGATGGTGGTGATGGTTGCTCGACAATGTGCATGTACTTAATACCACTGAACTGTACACTTAAAAATGGATAACAAGGGCCGGCCAAGTGGCACATTGGTTAAGAGCTGGCTTGGGATGCCAGAGGGACCCGGTTCGGATCCCACATATGAGGGCCAGTGACACTGCCCTCTACAGCTAAGATGCTGAACAACAGCTCAACCTGGAGCTGGGCTGCCA